CCTCTCTGTATATTTTGATAGGGATAACTCCGTAAATTTAACTTTTTATAAACTTTAGATTTTAGTGAATTATGAATATACTCAATGATACCATGTATAAACTCATTGTATAACTTTTTCTCATTATTTTAGTGTCCCCAATTAGCTTTTGAAGCTAAACACATCGACACTTAAATAAAGTTGTTATGTTACTTTCGTCAAAAGTTAGCTTTTTGTTTTTTAAGGGAATTATTCTGCAGCAACGAAGCTCTAGAGCACTGACCAAGGGGAACCTTCGCCGCACTTAGTGCGAAGGAATAAAACGTTATGGCAACAGAAACGAACACAGCTACCCATTCTTAACATAGATTTCGCCATAGAAAACAAAACACGAACGAAACAAACTAAACATTCAGTAACGGGAGCTTTTGTTCTAATCTTGACCTGAACACCGTGTTCGCAGGCGAGAAACCGTCCTTGTCAGTGTTTTTTGAAATCTTCGTTTAGATGCGCGCGGTTCTCCTTCGTTGGGCTGAATCGTACTCGCAACTTCCATTTCTTCTTTACTACTTGCGTACGATGTATCACAACTCACGGTAGAGCTTGCTGAAGGTAAGTATACTTCGCTATCGGACATTATTTCAAGAGTACAATGATTTCAACGCTGACTGATACCACTCCATGGGACACTTTTAAGGCAAAATAAGAGCACTTAAGGGCCCGAAAAAATCGACTTCTAAGTTTTTTGAAATTTTTCTTCTATCGGAATAGGTTTGTACATATGATAAGCTAAATATTTACGCAAAAAAATTTCTTGTCAAAGGCACTTTAAACGTTTACTTGCAATTCTCCATTTTCAAATCTCCGCAAAAGGATTCTAAACGATCTCTACAGATGCACCGCCTAGCCAAATTCTTCACCTTTTCAAGCTCTAAAGGGACCTCAGAGAAATTTTTCCCTACGATACCACAAAAGACAAACGTAATAAATGCAAATGCATTGCTCTCTGTCCGCTGTCGTTATCCCGCTCTTTCGTTGGTCTCATTGGTCTCGTTATTTGAGAGCTTAGGACGAGCTATGCAGAATGATACATGACAAGACGTCTGAAACAATACGGGCGGTGAAATAAAAAAACATATTATCCGCCTAAGGTTCTTTCAATTTTACCAATATCTTCAGAGCGAGCCGCAAGAAATATTCATTACTCAGTCATTTAATTATTCATCACTGTCATAGATACATACACAGAAACATCGGGTGGTGCGCTTGTGGTTGCCTGTTGTGAATTTTCCGAGAAAGCCCTTCGGTTCAGCACATATTCCTCGAAAAACTGTCAGACAATGATCTTTCGTTAAGACGGGGGGCACTCGAAGAGCCAATTTATCCATGGATGTTCAACAACTGTTTAAAAGCCTCAGGAAAGAAGCTGAATGTCCTCTGTGCTTAGAGACAGTCAAAGATCCCAAGACTCTGCCATGTTTACACTCCTTCTGTTTGGTATGCCTCGACAAACACGCACACTACGCAAGAATACAGCTTCAGACAGCAATTAAATGTCCGGTTTGTCAGGCTAGCTTTCAAATCCCTGAAGAAGACACGTTTGGCGGCCTACCCGCGTCTTTTCATCTCAACCGATTGGTGGATCTCCTCGCTCTAGCGGATGGTGGTACAGAGTCCCAACAATGCGGCAGTTGCGAAGAAAACAACACTGCGACTCACTATTGTTTTGAGTGCCAGAGCTTTCTCTGTACAACTTGTTTTAAAGCTCATCAACGCTTCAAGGCCACAAGAGGTCACAAAAATATCTCTGTCGACAATTTGCAAGCAGACGATGTCGAAATGTTGATTCGTAGACCAGTCATGTGTTCAGTGCAATATCATCAAGATCAACCACTGGAGTATTATTGCAAAGATTGTAACGTTTGCACCTGCATAAAGTGCAGTGTTGTGAGTCATACTCACCACACTATGGTTGATATGCAGAAAGCTACAGATGAACAAAAGATCCAGATAGCTGAGGCTTTAAAGAAAGTGAAAGCGGAAGTTGTTATTTTTGAAAATGAAATGAAGAACCAAACTGAATTCATGAACAAAAACAAAACACAAATATCGGCTGCCAGAGAGAAGATGAACGAGACTGTGGACGATTGTATTCGCTTATTAACGGAGCATAAGGCGTCAATGAATGCCAAATTCGACGAAATTAATCAAGCACATCAAAAAGCTCACGCAACCAATCTGGAAAACTTCCAGCAAGCTGTTGCACAGTTGAAAAGTTCTTTGGAACAAGGGGAGAATATCTTGGAGAGGAATATCAATGCTGAAATTCTGCAAACGAAGCCAGTGATTATTGGACGCTGCGAGGACCTTTTAAATGCGAAAAAACCTGAGATATATAAACCACCTTGTGTTCATTACGTAATAGAGCAGAAATTGGATATTTCAGATCGAGTTGTTGTGAGCCATACGAATCCCTCATCGATACTTGTGAAAGATCTTTGTGAGAAGGTAGAAGAACAGAATGAGACACATTTTACTATTATCACAAGGGATTCAGAGGAAAGACCGTGCTATAATGAGGATGATTACATAAAATGTGACATTCGCACTTTAACAGGGGATAGCTTCAAAACCGTACATCTAAAGATTGAGGACAAAGAAGATGGTAGCTACAAAGTAAGATACACACCACCTCATACCGGATTGTATGAAGTGAAAGTTGAAGTCAATGGACAGCCGCTGGATGGTAGCACGTGGAGTGTGCAAGTCATACCTCATCAGTATCAGTTGAAGTTCAGTTTTGGTTCAAATGGCAGTGGACCAGGACAGTTTGATGGACCTTATGATATTGCTGTTAATAAGAAAACGGGAACTGTTGCCATATCTGACTATAGAAATGAAAGAATTCAGCTCTTTGGCACTAATGGCCGATACCTGAGAGAGATAGGACTGAGGACTGGCTGTAGCTCATTAGGCTTTACCAAGTCCGGTCACATAATTGCCGTTACTCCCAGTGATGTTCACAAGATGTCTTTACTCTCTAAGCAGGGTAAGTTTGTCAAGCACATCGACAGTGAGCACTTGAAGTTTCCTTTTCATATATCCACTGATGGCGTTGATGATATTACGGTATGTGATCGAGAGAGTAATGAAGTCATAGCCATCTCTCATGACGGAACAGGGTTAGTAACACGCATTGCTGCTTCAGAACATAATCGATCAGTAATGTGCGCCATTTATCACAAAGACACAGACCGTTACTTTGTCTCTGATTCCAAAGCTGACCTGGTCAAAGTTTTTGATAAGAACGGAAACTTTCTTTATGAAATTGGCCGTGGAAAGTTACTGAATCCTTTTGGACTTGCTATTGATAAATTCAACAATTTGATCGTCTGTGATACTGGGAACAAGAGACTCAAAGTATTTACTACAAAAGGAGACTTTCTCTCAGAGACTGAACAATGTTTCCACACGCCGCGGTTTATTGCCGTGTCTAAAGAAGGGGAAGTTCTGGTCACTGATTATGAGAAAGACTGTGTTTTTCTATTTCAATAGGCCAGTAGTACGGCGATAAAAGTGTAAAAGACGTGTCTTACAGCACGAGTTTAGGGCACAAACATGAACAAAACAACTTTTTTTTTACAAAGTAATTAGCGAGAAAGCACAGAAGACAGTAAGCATGACTGACGTTAAAAAATGTTTTAACAAGCTGGAGTTGCATACCTAGGACTCCCAATGATAGCACAGTGGACACATTTCATCAACAAAAAAAATTCTAAAGCTTAATTATATAGAGCTTTGGAAGAAAGTCGCAAAATATCATAAATGTACAAACTTAGCTATTTTTTTGGTGCTTACTCTTTCTTTCCATTTTTTTTTTTTATTGTCTGATAAATATAGTAAATAAAACATAGCCTCTTAAGCGTTTACAGGTAGTTGTTTTAGTATGGATCTCCATGAAAATCTGATGTATTGCGCTTACTTGATAAAAGTAAACGTAAGAATAACAATGATAATGATGATAATAATAATGATAATAATAATGATAATAATAATGATAATAATAATGATAATAATAACTATTAATAATAATGGTAAAATTTCATCAAGAAATTAGGGATTGAAATAGAAGAGATCAACGTGTTTAAAAGAAAATAACTCCTAGATCTCTTCAATACAATCAAAAGACCTTCAGGAAGTATTTTTAATTTTTAGAGTTGTCCATCTCTCAGCCGAGCATATGTTTTGAGAAAGCACTAAGAGTACTAAGTTGTATCACAGTCGTTAATTGTTCCGGCGCTTCAGGGAATGCAAAGCTTAACTTATGCTACGTGAAAGGGAGACGTCCAAGTTTCTTTAGGACAAAGAAAAAATAGAACCAAAAAGGATTTACGTGAAAATCTTTTTTGGTTGTCCTTCCATGAGCAACAAAAGGGGAAGGGGGACGGGGTTTGTGTCCAACTCATCACTGAGTTTCATGACAATTTTTCTGAAAAAGCTAGTTTTGGATAATGCTTGATGCAAAATCAAGAAAATCTGATGTAGAGAATTTCACTAGGTGTTTATAGCTTTCCTGCACTCTGTGAAAAGTGAAACTTAAACAAACCACAACAACACCAGATACACTGTTTGATAAGGGAAACTTTAATAGAGAGTTTGATTTACAAACATTGTTTCTTTTTAAAAGCAGATTATCAATACTTTTTTTTTTCAAATAGAAATTGTTTATACCTAATTTCTAGACCATATATCACATCAAAAACGCTCGGCGTAAAAAAATTCAGGAAGGGGAAAGAGCAACGCTTCTGTTTCCTTGGCAATTGCCAATCTTCGTTAACAGGTAATTTCCTTTGTCTACGCTGTGTGAGAGCCTGGAACAAGCTGTATGAATCACGAAACATTAAGAGGACGCATTTTACAATCCGGGGAGGTGAAAAAAAAAACGTGTCATTTCGCTCACTTTTCATTTGACCCACAAGAAAATATTTGACCCGCAAGGAAATATTCATCACTCTGTGGTTTAATTATTCAAAACTCTGATAGATATATGCACAAAAACATCGGGTAGAATGACTTATTTGCCTGTTGTGAATTTTCCGAGAAAGCGATTCGGTTAAGTACACATTCCTCGAAAAACTGTCAGGCAATGATCTTTTGTTAATACGGGTACCAGTCGAAGAGCCAGTTTATCCATGGATGTTCAACAACTGTTTAAAAGCCTCAGGAAGGAAGCTGAATGTCCTCTGTGCTTAGAGACAGTCAAAGATCCCAAGAATCTGCCATGTTTACACTCATTCTGTTTGGTATGCCTCGACAAAAACGCAAACTACGCAAGAAGACAGCTTCAGACAGCAATCAAATGTCCGGTTTGTCAGGCTAGTTTTCAAATCTCTGAAGAAGACACATTTAGCGGCCTTCCCGCGTCTTTTCATCTCAACCGACTGGTGGATCTCCTCGCTCTAACGGATGGTGGAACAGAGTCCCAACAATGCGGCAACTGTGAAGAAAACAACCCTACAACTCACTATTGTTTTGAGTGTCAGAGCTTACTCTGTCGAGCTTGTTTCGAAGCACATCAACGCATCAAAGTCACAAGAGGTCACAAAAATATCTCTGTCGAGAATTTTCAAGCAGACGATGTCGAAAAGTTGATTCGTAGACCAGTCATGTGTTCAGAGAAATATCATCAAGATCAAGCACTTGAATATTATTGTCAAGATTGTAACGTTTGCACCTGCATAAAGTGCAGTGTTTTAAGTCATAATGGACACACAATGGTTGATATGCAGGAAGTTGCAGATAAACAAAAGATGCAAATAGATGAGGTTTTGAAGAAAATGAAAGCGGAGGTTGTTATTTTTGAAAATGAAATGAAGAATCAAACAGAATTAATGAACAAAAACAAAACACAAATATCGGCTGCAAGAGAGAAGATGAACGAAACTGTGGACGATCGTATTCGCTTATTAAAGGAGTATAAAGCGATAATGAACGCTAAGTTCGACGAAATTAATCAAGCACATCAAAAAGCTCACGCAACACATTTGGAAAACTTCCAGCTCGCTGTTGCACAGTTGAAAAATTATTTGGAACAGGGGGAGAATATCTTGAAGAGGAATATCAATGCTGAAATTCTGCAAACGAAGCCAATGATTATTGGACGCTGCGAGGACCTTTTGAATGCGAAAAAGCCTGATATATACAAACCACCTCGTGTTCATTACGCAGTAGAGCAGAAATTTGATATTTGGGATCGAGTTGTTGTGAGTCATACGGATCCCTCATCGACACTTGTCAAAGGTCTTTGTGAGAAGGTAGAAGAACAGAATGAGACATATTTTACTATTATCACGAGGGATTTAGAGGAAAGACAGAGTTATAATGATGATGACATAAACTGTGAAATTCGCACTTCAACAGGGGATAGCTTAAGAAAGGATCTTAAGATTGAAGACGCGGAAGATGGTAGTTATACAATTAAATACACACCAGATCATATTGGATTATATGACGTAAAAATTGAAATAAATGGACAGCCGCTGGATGGAAGTCCGTGGACTGTTCAGGTCATTCCTCATCAGTATCAGTTGAAGTTCAGCTTTGGTTCATGTGGCAACAGAGCAGGGAATTTTAATTATCCTTGCGGTGTTGCTGTGAGTGAGAAAACAGGAACTATAGCCATTTCTGATTATTCGAATAATAGAATTCAGCTGTTTAGCTCCAACTGGAACTACCTTAATGAAATACGACTGGGGTCTTCATGCTCGTCTGTAAGCTTTACTGAGTCCGATCAAATTATTTCCGCTACCCCTCATGATGTTAATAAGATTTGTCTCTTTGCTAAAGACGGCAAGTTTGTCCAGCACATCAACAGTAAGCACTTGCAGTGTCCTTCTCACATATCCATCGGAAAAGATGATTCCATTACCAGTAGTGATCCGATAAACCATGTCTTCGAGGTCATCTCCCCCGACGGGACAAAATTACTAAAACGCTTCCGTGCCTCAGAACATCATGATTCAATAAAGTGCGCAATCTACCACGAGCAGAAATTCTTTGTCTCTGATTGTAAGGCTCACCGTGTTGGTGTTTATGACGAGGACGGAATATTGCTGTATGATATTGGCAGCAAGGAGTCTGGCGACGGACATCTTGCTCACCCCAGTGGACTAGCAATTGACACATTCAACAATTTGCTCGTCTGTGATGTTGGGAAAAGTTCAGTTCAGGTATTCACACGAGACGGAAAGTTTGTGTCGATGTTTGGACTGTCTTCATTTGCACCGAATTATGTTGCGGTGTCTAAAAATGGAGATGTTTTTGTAACTGACCATGTGAACCACTGTGTTCATGTCTTTCACTAAGTAAAGGTTGTAACGGAGTTAAAAGTTTTTATGGTTAGTCCTCCAGTTTTCATTTTACGCGACAAGTGTTATGTCACTTGTCATTATTAGCTGTCTCGTATTTTTTTCTTGTATATTATTAATACGTAATCACATGATTTTTCTCGTGCAATAAACACTTATTAATTTTTCCAAAGACCACAAATTGCACTCGCCTTACGGGCTCGTGCAATTTCGTTAGTCTTTGAAAAAATTTGCTCTTGCTTATTTATTCCAAATTGCACTCGAAATCATGTAATTACCTATACTTATTAGGAGGGAATAATTTAGGAAATTAGTAATTTGAGTGAGACAAATGAAAGGAATCAAAACTTAAAATATGCGTATAAAATATTATCACTGGATAAATTTCTTGAGAAAATCTTATTACAAGGAAGGTCCCACTCAGTCGACGGTTCGTTTGTCTCCGTTTTTGTTTAAAAGTAACATATCGGCCATAATGATTTAGATGATTTAGGTTCTGGTGAGGAAAGGAAAATTGAACAAAAGCTGCTCGCGTGAACTGTTCATTTCAAAACTTGCTCCTTTGCAAAGAGCATTACGCCAGGGTCCAGTCAACTGGCGTAACATGGTTTCCTTCCGACGTCGAGAAATTTTCTTTAAGGCAAATCTTTGAGGAAACATGCGACATTACGATTAACCCTTCTTTTGTCCTTTTACTTTCGTACACTCTGAGTTCTAGTGACTGCATTACTACATTTTCTCCCAAGAACTCAATGGGATCATTTTGGTTTATAATCTTATAATTTGCAGTGTTACTAAAAAAGACATTTAAAAACCTTCCCAAAAACGAAGGTAAATTGCTCTTTTTAAATTTTGTTGAATGAATTGTGGTGTAATTTTCTCGTGTTTCGATATATTGTAGCATTTTTTGAAACACTACGTCTTGTTTGGAGTATAGAATAGCATAATGAGCGAATCCTATCAAAAAAATAATAATATTTCTTCGGTCTTGCAACATCTGTGCGACATTGGAAACATTCTGAGTCCTCATGAGGAATCGAACGTCAGACTTAGGAATCCACATACCGATGCCCTAATGGACTGTAATGCTTTGTTGTTGTTATTTTTTTATCATGGAAACACACCGCAAATGACTTAGCTTATGACGTAAACACAGATGGGCCGTGATTGGATTTTCGATCAATGATTGACAGAAAACACATCTCATGTAAAACTTTCGGCTTTCTTCATCGTCACAGTAAGCACTAACCTTCCTTGCTACAGTCAGACGAGAGAGAATTTGTCATTTTCTGAGAGGCGAAGATGGGCTGTATAGTTACACGCTCCACGCCAAAGGGAAACAGCGATTATGGAAGTGACCAGTCATTTGAGAATAACTCTCTCGCCGAAGACATCCACAAGAACAGAAAAGAAACAGAATTCGTCCCGCAAGTAGACGAGACAAACCAAGACAGAATGCCTCCTCGAGCAATCGCAGATTTTTCTTGGCTGACAAGTAACTACATAACCGTGAATGGGACCTACGAGTGACTACGGACTGAAGGACGCTGTATTCTCAGAAGAAAGAGTTTTTCAAGATCGGAATTGAAAAATATTTCGAGAACTAACACAAACACTTTGACTACAACAAAAAGAGTTGGATAGGAGTACCTAAATTTGCTTTGGAATGTATCAGACGAGGTGGATTAACCGCATTGATGTTTCACAATATTGTATCACAGCAGTGTTTATTTCGCCATTTGAAATGCATGATATACTGATTAGGAGTTTCTTCCCTGATGTTTATTTGTTTTATGACGGAAAACTGTTTTTTTTTGTCATTTGCTTTATCTCACGATTAAAACTGAATTTTCTTTGTAAATGGCGCACCCTATCAAAGATTTGTATTAATTTAAAAAAGATGGGTAAACATAATAAAACTTGCGATTCTGCTTTCGCGGAACACGCGAAAAGCTTCGAATACAAAGGGAAAGTCGACACACAGAATTTCACCAAAATATGATAATTTTTCCGGAAAACAAGACTGTTTCGTTACATAACTCTCTGTCGCGTCAAGAAAACAGGCATCGAGAGAACTAGTTTTATTTCTCAGTGTTTTCGTACGCTGCTCTGAAGGGCTGAAAAAGCTGTCAGTTAAATTCGACACATTCTATATCTTTTTTCATTCAGTTTGCAGTGAAAGTGTTTGTTTTGTTTTAAAAACTCGTAAGTTCAAGGTAAGCGGCAGAGAAAAGGACGTTACTTTACTGCGCCTTAAAATGACCATCACGGGTAACTAAATACAATTTATGATCACTGACGACTTGATGAAAGTCTCAGCTTTACACATTCGTATTCATGTCCATGTCTCTCGCCATCGGCAAAAAGTTTTTGACGCACTGTACATCAGAGAGACGTGTAGAGAAGTTCACTGTTATGTAACTAACGATGACTAGGGAATAAAGGGAGAATAAAGGGAGTGACTTTCTAGATAATTTGGTCAGTTTATCATCAACTGCCATCGTAAAGAGTTTCCAAAGCTGACTGCCCGGGCGCTAGACGACAAGACCTGACGCCACGCTCAAAACGTCAGCCTAAGTATCGCTTTACGGTGGCCAATATTTACATTATCAACTCAGTGGACGAATCCCAATTATCTTATGACGATGACTTGAGCCTGTCATTTCATTTTTCTCGCAACTTGCCCTTCAAAGGGCGCAAGAAATTCTCCTTTCATAGGAGTTCTCAGAGATACGGTTCGCAAAAACTTCCAAGGTTACTTTTTCTTTGTGAGATGACTAAAGCTTGTATTTACTCCTTGTAACGAGACACCTCTCGTTGGCGACCTTATAAGAATGTCACCGCGACAGTTTACTTTTCTCCTTGGGTACGCCTACTCTTTAACCCTTTCACTCATAAATGTGATTAACATGTGACTTCTCCCCCACCGTATCCATTCATTTTCCAGCAAACTGGTAATGAGAATACTCAAACTTATCGGGTAAAAGTTATCTTGACCTAACACCAAATTCTCATTATTGATTTCGTAAGAAATGTGTAGCAGCTACAGGGGAGAATTAACAATCAGATCTTAGACATAAAAGGCTTAGTAAATCGTGGCACTGTTCGTCTGTAATAGAATAAGATATTTAGGGTCAACGAAACCAATTGTATACGAACTGAGACGCTGATTCCACCACAAGCTATGATCTATAGAAAGTTTTACTTAAGCGTTTTTTTGGGGGAAGCAATTAGCCGGTATTTTAAACGAGTCTCAACCGTGTAAGAAATAAGATTTCTTTGTTTTTCTTCTTTTCCAAAGACAATTTGTCCAACAAGAACGGGCTTTTTATGTCATTCTCAATCTATCCATGTATAAGAAGCCACCAGCTTCTACATAAAATCAAAAAGCTGACAAGTGCATTTGCAATTGGTTGAAAAATTAATATCAGACTAAAATGTAATTTTTCAAGTGGCCACATTCCCACATTAAGATACAGGTTTCAAATTTACTTCCGTTTTACAAGAATTTTGTTTCAGTACTTTACAAGTGTACGAAAAATACGATTATCTCCACCAAATCTGTCCACTTCTGCCTTTACTCATTCAGTTCTGTTATCCTAAATGCTTTCACGACAGGACAGTGCTTCTTTATTAGGCCTCTATCATCGTTTGGCATTTTTAGCAGCATCAGCAGCTTCTTTTGCTGTAAAGTGACAAAGATTTGTTATAAATCAGCAATTTTGAATTCAAAACATATGATCTTAAGAGAGCACATCTCAAGGCTTAAATATCTCAAAATTATCCTTGGAATGTAATTGATGTACAAGCTGTGCCAATCTACTTTTTGCAACTTCAAATCGTTTATGTAATAAAACATCCTTAACCCTTCACATCCTAACATCAGAATGCATATTCTCCAAACTGTTCTCTACACATTTCCCAGGGAATTGACAGGGAGAATTTGTTTCACAATTAAGAGCTTCTTGGTTGGTGATCATTTCCTTTGTTCTCATGACCTTTAAGTTCAATTCAGGGGTGCTATTGAAAGGAGAAATTAGATGCTGGTCACTCTTTACAGTCAAATAATTAGTAACCATCTCTACCCAAAAATCTCATACAATCAATATACAATTGATGATTGAAACTGTGAGTGACCTACTATTAACTGAAGAAATGCTTTCCCAATACAAAGCACATACAGTTACACCTACAAGCCACAAACACCTGAAATGCTCAGTAGGATAATACCTTTTTTCTGTTCTTCTTTTTTGCGTGCGGCTTCTTCTCTTTGCCTCCGTATAACTGCTAGTCGTGCCAGATCAGCCCTGGCCTGATCTGTTTTCCCTTCTTCCTGTAGTTTCCTCGTTCTCACTGCTGTACGCTGCCGTTCAATCTCTTCCCTGAAGAGAAAAATCAAGGACAATAAAATAAAAAATAATGTATAAATTTTGGATCAATCACGGCTCAAGATATTTTAAAATTCATAATACTAGTATCACCAAAAAGAAAATTTACTCCTTGAAATATAAAACTATTGTGTTTTATGACAAACCTCTCTCTTCGAGATAGTTGCACAGTACTACTATCATCATTGGTTAATTCTGAGGCCTTTTTTGTTTTTGAAGTGACTCTGTTGGGATTTTCTATCTCTATGAGACCACTTACACCTTTTGGTTTAACCTGCTATAAAATGAAAGAGAAAAAAGCTTTTCAGTTCTTTTGGTCAGAGAATCAAGGTGAGATAGAGTCAAAATGCCCTTTATTCCACTACAATGCCAATTTACCATATTAAGGCATGAGAACATGCAAAATATGCCACAGTATTACACTGTGGCACAAGGCAAAATATGAATGGAAAATGGAGATCATAGTGGAAAGTGGAAATCATAATGGAAAAATAATTCCTCTATTCCATGGTTTAACATATAATACAAGCACACATTTTACTCATTGCAAATGTTTTTCCTCGTCCCTATGAGGTTCAGAAAACACTATCCAACTCAAAAAATATCAGTGTGCGTTACCAGCTAAACCATTAAAAAAGTGTATACATTTTCTATCAAATAGTTTTGACCCATGGGTAAAATTTGACAGTGTGATGGGATTGTTTGGGTTAGTTTGGAACTAAAAAGGACTTTTCTTACTGGCAGTGACTAATGGTTTGACAACTGAGCACAAGATATTATCAGGGTCAAGACTTGGGTGACTTGACTCTGACTTGACATAAGGTGTGACTATGATGATGACAATTGCTCCAGCTGTCAAAATGTCAACAACTGTCCCTAACAACAATTATTATTTTGGACTACCTTAGCTAGATGACCACAGCATCTATTTCCTACCTCTTCCTCACTGTCAGATTCCTCCTCACTGCTGGCCTCAGGTTTTTCTGCAGCAGCACCTTCTTCATCTGAACCATCACCTTCTTTCTTCTCCTGAAGATGAAAGGTTAAAACTCCAAGGTTACATGGATAATTCTAGTTTCAAAAGCCACAATTTATGTTGTTAAATGATAAAGGCTGAGTAATTCAGTTGAAATATTTTTTAAGGAAAACCAACTATGTTTTAGGCAGTTTCTCCTATAATAAGAATTGCTGGCCCTGGGCGAAGGGCTAACGGTTGAAATATCACCTTTAAAAACTATTTACGGTGGCCAATTTACAATATCAACTCCGTTGATTAAATCAAATTATCTTGTTATACTACCCCAACTGATGCAGCACCACAGTTTCTTTAGAAACTTATCTCATTTATTCAGTAGTGTTTCAAAGACAATAAAAAAGATTTCAAGAGCAAATCATTTGAAAAAATTATATCTGAAGGTAAATACAAATACATCTCTGATATTAAAACAGGGGAGTGAAGTTCTTTAACGGTGACGTATAGAAGCTTCCTGTGCTGATAAATTATACAAATGCATCGTTGTAAATAAATCAACAGCTTAGCGAGCAACAACAAATTTAACTCCTTGTAAATTCGGAGGAACCTATTCGACGGCGATTTAGTTTTTCAGACCATGACTAATTCAAAATTGGAAATTTTAGTTGAAGTCTTACAACAAAAGATCTATCCTCAATGATAAAAATAATCTGGCAAATGAGGCGTCAAATTTTTTTGTTTAAAAGGGTACGTATCGGTACATGTGTGCATTGCATCATGTTTAATTCACGTTGCATTTTCATTTAATTTAAGTTCCTCAACATCCTCTGTTAAATTCTGTACATGTTGACGGTATCTGCACTGTTCATTTAATTTGTTTCAAGAATAGAGTGCGAATGAGATATATCTAGAACACTATCAAGTCAAATTACCCTCCATTCCTGTCTTCTCTTTTCTCTCTCCATCTCCATTTGCAGCTCCTCTGCATCGGTAAAATGGCGTCTCCTGCCTTTGTGATGCGTTTTTCCTCGACCTAAAACAGCCAAAAACGTCTCATTCGGGGCTCAAAAGTTCAACTTAACGACGAAATGCTCAAACCTACCTCCTCGTCTTGACATTTTGATTCAGACTGAAATCGGTACACGAGGATTAAGACAAAATTATTTAAAATTTTTCTCTGCCGATGAATTGGAAAAAGGAAATGGTTGACCTAATTTGAGCCCTCGAGGGCCTCAGAGACAAGTCAGCGTGCATATGTTAGCAGCCTTGCCTTCATGTTATTTTTGCCAGGTATTAGTCCGCCATGTTTGACAGAGGACCATGTGCGACTGTATTGGAAAGTCTTTTGCAGTCATCTCTTTGGGAAGAATAACGCTGACTTAGAATCAGGCTATCTCTTGAAGGATTTCGCTCTATTTGCCTAGCTTTGTATCACAATGGAAGACATCGTGGCGAGTGTAGCAGACCTCAAGTTTGAAATTGAGATGCAATTGTACAACCAAGTTGGAGTTCAGCCTCTTCCGTTCCCGGGCATGGACAGTACCATTCAATAACGAGTTTTGGTCGCGACAAATGTCATTTTTGCTTTTTGCACGTTAATCTCCTTAAAATTAGTTTAACCCCAAATCCTAGCAATGTACCTGAACCCAGCAGACCTGGTTAAATGTCAAACTCTCAACACGCTGATGTCTACAATATTTAGACAATATTTATTGTTAATATGAAAGCGATCTTCGTAGTAATGAACACTTCTTAAGTTGTACTGAAAATAAGGCCTATTAAAAAAAAATTCAGGCCTGTATGGGATTTAAACCCACGATGTCTGCAATACCGGTGCAGTGCAGTGCCCACGGCGTCTGCAATACCGGTGCAGTGCTAAGGCAACTTTCATTTCTGCTTTTGTAGTGTTCATTTCTTAACCCTTTAACTCCCAGATCAAATTTGTCTTTCTTCTTACTCTCAACCATACAATTCTTACAATGTTAGGTCAGAGAATTTAGTATTGGATCAACTAATTATCCCCAAATTGATATTTTTCTTTGTTCTCATCACTTATCTGGTTGATATTGTATTGATATTAAAAGGAGTAATTCTGTCTTGGTCACTTATGGGAGTTAAAGGGTTTTAATCTGCAGTTTATATATATGAATTTCATATTTTCAAAGTCATTAATGTTTATTGTGTTATCAAATTTGTGATAAAGATGCATGCAAACCATAAAACCATTAACTAATTATTGTTGCTACTTGCAGTTTTCCTGTCTTGTTTTGTATGTTCAAAAAGTGTTATGATTTAAATGACAATGGTTATTTTTTGTTGTGTGTTCTTCTCTTGGTAATGTCTTGTTGTACAGAGTCTGGTGCAGCAGTGTGTGAATTTTTTATGAGGAACATGTGCAATCGAGGGCCAGTTTGTCCTTTTAGACACACCAAAGGTGAAAAGACAGTTGTCTGTAAGCACTGGCTGAGAGGGCTTTGTAAAAAGGGTGATCAATGCGAATTTCTTCACGAATATGACATGACAAAAATGCCCGAATGTTATTTTTATTCCAAGTTTGGTAAGTGCATACCATTATTTTTTTGAAATTGTTATATTTAATTTAGATCAAGTAAACAGATTTTATTTTATTTAATGAAGAGTTACATCAGATAATGGTACCTTTATCTAAGAAGACAATTGACTCTTACAGTGTTCTTTTCTTTCCAAGATTATGAGTGGTTCTTGGAGAATTTCAGGAAAACTTGGGGAATGTTGGGGGTAACTTGTGATGGGAGAGGGGTTGCAATATTCAGGGTTTATACGGGTTCCAGAAAACCTGGAAAGACTGGAAGCTTTGAAAATCTTCTTTACTCAAGCAATAAAGTTTTCAGAATTAGTGTTTTAAGAAATGCATGTAGACAGGAAAGAGAATTGATTTTGAAATCTTGGGAATGAAATGGTTTAAGTTGAAATTTGGAGTCCTGGAAAAATCAATCTGAGTTCTGGGAAAGTCCTTGAAATTTGTTTTTGAAAAAGGGTACAAACCCTGAAAACTGTTTTTCACTCCATGCTAGGAATACTGGTATAAACTGGAAAGATAGATGGGCCTCTTGGCTTGAATACAGACTTTACCTTAACTTTAAACTTGTAAAGGACTAGTTTTCTATTCAGGAGGAGTCTTAATGATAGGATGTTGCAGAAACCATAAAGTGTGCCAGTGGATGTGCATGTCAGATTTTTTAATTAATCAAATGATACATGATACTAAGATGAAACACGATTTAATTCATGTAGGTGAATGTAGTAACAAAGAATGCCAATACCTTCACATTGATCCTGAGTCTAAGATAAAGGACTGTCCATGGTATGACAGAGGATTCTGCAAGCATGGTATGTCATTACATATATCTATTACTGTCATGCAATTTACCGGTAAAAGGTTGAAAAGATTAAAAAGGGATGAACGTATGACTTTTCCTATAATATCAATACCAAGGCAAAAAGATGGGAATAGACAGTAGAAAAAAAAACTATCAGCCAGGATAAGTGTCTTTTAATGAACAACAACGAAGCCTTTTGATAATAGATTTAAAAATGAAGTTCTCTATGACTGGCAACCATCTCAGCATATGTTATTGTTTTATTCTTCAATATTAGGTCCAAGCTGTAGGCATCGACATGTGAGGAGAGTTATTTGCCTGAACTACATGTGTGGGTTTTGTCCTGAAGGTCCTAAGTGTAAACATATGCAGTAAGTTGTACTGTATGATTAGTCAGCTTGCATCTATCATTGCTTTCTTATAAGATTTGATTTTCTTATTTTCTTTTGTAAATGATTTATTTGCAGTGTCGATACTACAAGAGACCACAGGGTTTAAATCCTCTGATCACTTTGTGACTTTGTTTTGTTGTTTTAACATAGATCAATCATTCTCAGCAGGTGCTCCTCTGAAATTTATTTAATTATCCATCTATTGTCTAATAGTGGGCAGGGTGACAATTATTTTCCTTTGGGAGGCAAACAGGCTCTTACTTTTTGTTTAAAATAAAAAAGGAGAGGACAAGTTGTAGCCATGGCAGGAATGTTTGCCTCCCAATGCTATTTCTTGGGTTCTATCTGAACTTGTTGTTGGATTTCATTCTTGCTACAAGAACAAGAATCAACACAACAAGTTCCAAAGTGAATAAAAGGGGTAAGTTTCTTATGAAAGTGTGCTGCTGCATTGGTGGGAGAGTATAACAGGGTAATCTTGTATATCAACTGAGTTGATAACTTAAATTGGCCACCATAAAGAGTTTAAAAGCTGACGTTTTGATTGTTAACCCTTCATCAGAGTGCGCTGACAAAGGGTTCACCCTCGGAACGTCAGCTTTTGTACTCTTTACAGTGGCCAATTTATGTTATCAACTCTTTTGATGCTACTTAAGTTCCAAAGTGACCTAATACTACTTAGATGAAGAGCTCCCCATGTAATTGGACCATTTCTTTTTTTTATTGTTAAATGGTTGCATGGGGGACCTTTTTGTCACCTTGGTTGACTGAACTGATGTTTGACTCAGAATGAACAAAGGCCTGTATAAAGAAGATAGAACTTTGATGCTATTTTTTTTTCTCAGTCCAAGATTTGAGCTTCCTGTGAAAGATGAAAGCAGCGAGAAAAAAGCCATGAACATTGTATGTCATTACTGTAATCAGCCTGGTCACAAAGCATCCAGCTGTCCATCAAATCCCCACAAAGAAAACTATAAGGTTGGTTTTAAAATACCATAGCACAATGGATCATTTGAAGTATTTCAGTTCCCAAATCAATCATTTATACATCAGGGCTCAGTTGTTTAAGGGAAGGATAAAGCTATCCAATGGATAACTCGTTATCAAGTGCATAAGTGTTAACAGAACGCACTGCACTATTAAGTGGACAGAGATATATCTAATGGATAGCAATATCCATCCTTTAAACAACTGGGGCCTGGATGACAGTTTTTAGGTATTTTCAATGTTATTTTTAGTTGCATATAACAGCCTTATTCAGAGACAGTTGTTTACAACAAGGGGCATTGAACTGACTGGCTCAATGTTTGACCTGTAGTTGTCATGAGTTGTCCATAGATTTTTGTGTTTGAGAGGAAACAGTGGATTTGGACTCAATTGAATCTTCAAATGCCTACAAGGACCCAACAGAAAAAAATTGTCAAATACATCTTACTGCACTGGACAAGAACATTGTTACCCATTTCATGAGTGGGCAAAGAAATGAAAGCAAAAGTTCAAATCTTGCCATCTGCTGTTGTAACTAGCATGGATTTAAATCTCTGTCTTATTCAACAGATATTTTTATTGTTTTCAGTGAAAACATTGTGGTAACTTTTTTTAAAGCTGGCTGTCTTCTTAACCCTTTAACTCCCAAGATCTGATTGTTTTTTCTCCCCTGTAGTTGTTACACATTTCCTGGTAAATCAGCTAGGAGAATTTGGCATTAGATCAAATAACAACCTCTAAGTGACAAGTTTGAGTAATCTTGTTACTTTTTTGCTGGATGATGCATAGATATTGTAGGGAGAAGTTACATGTTAATCACTTCTGGGAGTTAATGGGTTGAATGCAGTTACAGCTGGAGGTGGAAGTATTTCTGTGTGTGACTGGGTTGCCCTAGTTATGAATTTGTTGGACTCTCAGGCAGGAATCCCTGTGTGTGTTCTTTGGCGGAACATGTTACTTTCACAATTTCTTCCTCCACTTAAGATGTGAAATGGGTCCTTTTGGGAATTGAAAAAGGTGGATTGAAGACAAGCATCTAATCCAGTGGGAGCCTATTTGCATGTTGCAATGGAGACTGGAATCTCCTTTGCAGTGGACCTCTTTGCTGGAGTGCAGGCTTAGCCTAAAATTGTTTTTTTTTTCTGCAGAATCAACAAGGGATGCATCAAAATATCAATGTAAATATCGTTCCAGTGACAACAAATTCACATTTGGATACTGATCGACCCATGATGAGAAGGCCTCTAGAAACAGTCACTTGTTTCAAGGTGGGTGTAAAGTTGTTATAGATCTGTCAAGGCTAATTAGATATGCAAACTACTTGGTTTGTCCCAAAGCCAACACCTTGCACTTTTGCATGTGATGAAGCCAAATTCTTCAATTAGAATGTTTCTGATTGACTTGCACAACCTTAAATTAATCACCACAGTCAATAAAAACGAAGGGTGGTATGATTAAGAGCCCATAAAAACCCAG